CAGCCTCGTGAAGAAGATATTATAATGCCCATTTCACTAAGGACAAAACTGAGGTGCCTGGGGGGACCACTCAGAGATGCCACACAGTCAGCAAGCAGCAGAACCAGGCTGCCCACCCAGAGCACCATGAAGTCAAAACAGTGGAGAAGGGGACATGAAGCTGGCTTAGATGACTCCATTGCATGGGAAGAAAATCTGGGCTCCAAGGGTAGTTGGGGTAGTAGGTGAAAGGCAGTTGAACAGCTTCTGGTTTCTGCAACTGTGGGTGTTTCCCAAGCTCCCTCTGCAATGTTGGCTAAACACTCACTTTATGAATCACATATTCACTCAGAACTAAGACACGCTCTAGTCACTGTAGCCAAAAAAAAAAAGATCAGGAATTGGAAATTCTTTTTCTTAATCCTGGGCATGATGCCAGCTCCATGCACATTCCTGGATGTTCAGGTCTGGGAGGTAGAGCACAGGCTCGTGGTGCACACACCTGGGGTCTCTTCAGTCCCCACACTCGGATATGAGGGAGCAACTGCCAACAACAATGGCTCATTAAAAAAGAAGATAAGCTCCCAACATGATGTGCAGGAAAGCAGCCAGCATCACTCACCATGACTTATAATCAACTGCACTTCCAATGCAGATGTTTGCTCAGCTCTGCAGGAGAGCAACCAAAACTAGAAAGAAATTTCATTGTCAGCGTGCCATAGGATGGTAAGGCTCATACAGAACAGTGTTAGTGGCAAAAAAGAAAAAAGACTTAAAAATGGACAAAGGCACGTCCTAACTGACTGATGGGAAAATTAAACCCTTCCCTGGTACTCAGGCATGGTCATGCATGCTTGTAATCCCAGCAGCTTGGGAGGCTGAGGCAAGAAGATCACAGGTTCAAGGCCAGTCTCAGCAACTCAGTGAGACTTTATCTCAAAATTAAAAATTTAAGGGGGTTGAGATGTAGCTTAGTGGTAGAGGATCCTTAGGTTCAATCCCCAGTACTGTGTCCCGCCCCCAAAATAATCCTTCCCTGGTTTATATATATATATATATATATATACATATATATATATATATATACATATATTAATTAATGCAATTTCCATTTCCATTCCAGGAAGCTTCTAGGAATTCAAAGTCTCAAAGTCTAAAATTTGTTTTGAAAACCTATCAAAGAGAAAGAGTAATAAGTAGATTTAACCCTCACAGACATTGAAAAACCACATTATAGTACATCAATAATCAAAATCATATGGGATTTGCTCAAAAACAAGAAATGAAGAAATTCTCACTGTATATAAGAATGTGATAATAAACACTAAGCAAAATCACAGTGGAAAAAGACTAATTGCTGTCCTGTGATAATAGGATTCAAATATAGAGAAAAATTAATTCAGGGCTAGGTATGTAGGAGTTCAGTGGTACAGTGTTTGCCCAGCATACACAAAGTCCTGAGTTCAATCCCCAGTGCCAAAAAAAGAAAAGAAAAATGAAAGAGAGAAGAGGGGAGAAAAGAAAAGAAACTAAAAGGGAAGGGAAGAGAAGATGAAAGGAAACGCAGTGAGAGCAAATCATGAGTTACCACTAGCAAAAATGACAAGCCAATATTTATAAGGTTGCAGTATAAAATAAATCTCATGTATCACTTTACAAAAAAATATTATACTACTTTGGACATATAAAAATGATTCTCTAGGAAGATAATGTGATAATACATAGTAGATCTCATTTTTTAAAATTCATTTCTTTTGACTCAAGAATTTCACTCATTGGGCTGGGGATGTGGCTCAAGCGGTAGCGCGCTCGCCTGGCATGTGTGCGGCCCGGGTTCGATCCTCAGCACCACATACAAACAAAGATGTTGTGTCCGCCAAAAACTAAAAAATAAATATTAAAAATTCTCTCTCTCTCTCTTTAAAAAAAAAGAGCTCACTCAAGAGCTGGGTACACTGGTACATGCCTATAGTCCCCCTAACTACTAGGGAGGCTGAGGCAGGAGGCTGGCTTGAGCCCAGGAGTTCAAGGCCAGCCTGCGCAACACAATAAGGCTCTGTCTCTACAAAATAAATAAATTTCACACAAGAAGAAATAAGCCTATATGCAGAGATGTTTACAGTAAAGTTTTGTTTTATGACAGGAAAAGTTATACAAGATTTGAGGAATGGCTAAATGAATTATGGCAAATTAACTGTAAAAAGAGGCCACTTTTTAAAAAAGTAAACAAGAAGACCACATAGATGTATGGAGTGTGTTTAAAAAATAACATAGTGAATAAAAACATATATCCATGCTGCATAGCCATCACTGTAGGAAATTATTCACAAAGATAAACTAACTCTCTGTGCCAGGCACCAGGCCAAGCACTCTACACTTTTATATTGTTTGTAACAACTCAAAAGATACATAGTCTTGCCCTAGCTTTAAAAGTGAGAAAAGCAAGGCCCAGAGTTACTGGACCTCCTCTACATACTGCACCTGAATAGTCAGGATCTGACTGCAGCCAGGGTGACCAACATGCTTGGAAATTACATTTATGGGAGAAGTAACACATGACTTTTTGGGGGTAAAGTTCTCAGTAAGAAATTAGAAAATAAATCATTTCACACAAGTCTCAATGAAGTGCTATACCATTAGTCTATTTCTCAATTGCTACCACTTCTAAAACTTAAAAATATTATGTTTATATAGACAGGCTGCCATTCACTCTTGTCTTATAAAAATGGATACTTTCCAGTTGTGACAACATGAAAAAACCACCTGGAACTCAGCTCTGGTTTTGCCCCAAATGTCTTTTTCATTCGTAACTACAGCACACAGCCCAAAAGGTCTGTTAAAGAAATCCTGTCTGTGAACACTTATTCAGGAGACATGGCTGATCATGGTCCTCATAGGCCTACCAGCAGCACGCTGAGGGATGAAAATATCTCCATTTGCATCCTCAAACTCCCTTCTGTCCTACACTGCCTAAGAGGAAGCTTCTGCCTGCTCCCCACAGGAAAGAGGAGATCTTCAGATACCCTTTGGATACACATGAAAGAGCCTGTGAAGTCCAGGTAAAGGTGAACCATCCCCATGCCAGAAAGGGGAGAGGCAGGGGCCAATATTCTAGAGGGCAGAAGGCCCTGAAGTACATCCACTGCCCTTCGTAAATGGTTGTAGGACCAACTGGGGCATTCACTTACACCACCAAAGAACGTTTCCAAGGTAGTGTGGGCTAGGGACGGGTGGCTTTCTGAGGACATGGCCAGGCATCTGACTTGTTTGCTAGAACACAATGTTGCTGGATATAAGGACAAACAGTAAAGGTACTTAAAAATAAATGTAGGGAAAATAAAGATCTGTTCAAATTTCCAAGGAGAATGACTTAAAGATCATCACCATATAAAGTCCATTCGCCAACAGTTTTTATAAGAAAAGCAGAGGAAACCACTATCATAAACATGTAGACCCCAGGAAGGACAAAGTGGTTCACCAGCTCAGCAATTACACCTGGGAAACAACTGGTTCCAAAAAGCCATTTCCTTTCTCCATTTGTAAATGCTGGCTCTCCTCCATGAGCAACTTATTTTTCTGTCTACTGATGATCACAAAGCTACACACGGGGGTGCTGGGGTTGTGGCTCAGTGGTAGAGCACTTGCCTGACACATACAAGGCACTGGGTTCAATTCTCAGCACCACATAAAAATAAATAAATTACACAATTTAAAAAAACAGAAAAGAAAACTATACACAGTTCTCAATACCAGTCTACCTACAGCTACCAGGTCACAGTCACCTTCATGYAGATGGATACAATGGTTGTCACAGGAGAGCCAGGCAGGCTGAGACAGCAGCTGCTGGGCTCTTCACCTGCAGCTCATCTGCATCCCCAAGGCCCAGGGTGAACTCAGTTCCTTCAGGCAGGTCCCACACTCCAGGATCAGGCCACTGGGCTCACAGTCAGCCTTGCTGGACACAGGCCATTCCCCACTGCCTGTCCCTTACAGACAATGAAATAACCAGGCATCATAAGCTACCAGAGCCCTCATGGAATGCTGCTAAGAACTGAAAGTTCTTACCAAGCAACAAGTGGATTTCTTCTACTCAGGAAGTTTGTCACACATAGGTCAGTACCCATGCCAAGATAATGCATATGTGACAAAACTACGAAGCTCTGGATCTCTTGTCCTTCATGTTACAATTCTGCCATCATCAACAAGCAACTACAAAATTATGTCAGTGTCACGTATCAATTAAAACACCTGCATTCGCCTGACTATGGCTTATGGAAGTAAATATTCATGACGCTTCCCATCTGCCCCAAATTAAGACAAAAGACCAAGAGACCAGTGATCACTAAAGATTTGACCATCTTCAAGAAGTTTAGAAAATGAATTTTTTTTAAAAAAAAAAAATTCCTTTCTGATACTGTCCTGATGTGACATAGATAAAGCAGAACAAAAAATGATTTGTTTGGATAGAGGTCCTTCCCTTCCCACTTACATGGAAGCAGAACCAAATTCTGTTTGTGTGTGGATAGGACTATCAAATGGGCCCCACTGGAGAGGGGACAGCATGCTCCCCAGGGGTAATCTGGCTTCACAGTAGCCAGTCTGTGCCCAGACCCTTCCACAGTGCTACCATCTTCTCCAACTCAGCTCTCAGCAACAAATTTAGTTTTCTCTTTCCCCCTAGTTTGACAATTTGCTCTCATTAAGGAATTTTTTTTAAATGAGTCATGTGTACACAAAATATCTTCCCCCAAAGAAATCCAACATTGATAAGATGAATAGAAAAACAATTTTTTATTTCTGCACAAAGGAATATTTCAGACAGGTGCAACACTGTCTGAATTAGCCAGAGATCAAAGAAGGTGGGCCAATGGAAAGTCTGATGGATTCAAACTCCCTTTAGTACTGGAGTCTTCTTGCACCCTCCCTATATTCTGACACATCAGGCAGAGTCCCAAGTCCACAACAGGACAGGTAAGAGCACAGTGCTTTCGTCCAGGCTGGCACGCTGTGCCATCACTCACCTGTGCCATTGGCCAGGCCACTGTGGCTTGGGTTCTTGATGGGCTGACGGTGTCGGTTCCTGGTACCAGGACTTTGTTCACCGGCCGTTGTGGTTGTTCTGGCTGAACCGCCTGAATGTCTGTGTGTCCTAGGGGTTCAAAGTGTAAAGCAGACAGACATAAGGCATGATGAAGAAGAAAGAAGCATGTCTTCCTTAAACCAGTGTCCTCCCTCTTTTGCTATTTATTGGAAACAGGACTTTAACAGCCCCTGTAGTTTTTGACCCAACAGAAGTTGGCTCCAAGCAGAGGCCCAGGGAAGCCTCCTTCTTGGTAGAAGCCCAGGAGGCTGCTTTGTGTAAACTTTTCCACTTGAAGTAAACAAATTCGGAGTGATTTACCCCCACATCTGAAATAACTGGCAAAATAGCCTGTGACCATCTCACTATTTTTATTGGAAATAAACAAGAATCACTGGACAGGCTACAGAGGAGACATTTTCCCATTAGGCAAAAGGAGCCCAAACGTCTCCAAATCAATTTTCTGTATAGCTAGAAAGATGACTCCCCTGGAAACAGAAGTCAAGGGGTGTTAAACAGTTGATGTGTCTGGTGCCATGTTTTTTACCTAGAAAAGATGACTCAACAGCCCATCCAAGTAAGTGAGAACCAACATAGAAATGACTTGATCACAAAGACACTGTAGGATCTAGCAGAAGAAAACCTATCGGACACCTTCAGAGCACACAGGCCATGAGCAACGTGAGCTCTTGCGTTCTTTGTGTAGCTGCCTTCACTCCCTCAGCAACATCTGCGCCTCCCTGTTCCTCAGTTCAGCCGTTGCACCCAAGGGCATTATTCCACTACTGAGAAGTTGTAGACCACTTCATAACAGTAATGTGGCTTAAACACCATCCAGTGAAGAAAAGGCCACTGCTCTCCAGGCAGAGTAAGAGACCCAGAGAGCAACTTAAACTACCTGACATGGAGCAGTAAGATGACTACAAACAATAAAATAACGACAACCTCAGAAATATACAGTATTCATCAAGCTGTAACATCACACACCGGAGATGTGTACTTTGCATGTATGAGCACATTTGGCAAGGCCACCCTTTGGGTAGCTTAATGCTATTCCCATTTCACACGTAAGAAAACAGACACGCAAAAAAGTTCTACAGAAAGTAAGCCACAGAACACAGATTCAAATCCAGGCAGTGTGACTTCAAGCATCCACACTGGGCTGGAGGATGGAGTAGGGAGCTTGACTTAGGCTGAATTCCTGTAGACTATTCTTTCACTGGTCACTTGACCAATGGCAACACTAAGACTTGTAACAGAAAGTTCCCTGCTGAGATCCACACCCCCAAGGGCACCCCTGCTGGTGAGGGCCTCTAGTCCAGTGTATTGGGGTGAGCCTGCAGCACCAAATTTTCAGATAAGAGAAGAATAAACCAAAATGTTAACAGTGATAATCTTTAAATGCTGGGGACATTGACTTTTTGATTTTGCCTTTGGTGCTCTTCTGGATTTTTCCAGTTTCCTTCATTGAGCCTGTTTACTTTTGAGTGAGGAATAAAGAAAACAAACTTAAAAACAAAACAAGCAAACAAAAGCAGTTTTTCTTGGGCCAAGAAAAGACAACTCCCAGCAAACTCTGGAGCCCTTTGTACCTCAAGACCACGTGGCAGTTAAAAATGGAGAGAGGGTAGACTGAACTATGGAAATAAAGATTCAGTTTGGACTCTCTTTTTCCACCGTATTTTTCCCTGAGCTAATTTCATAAATCAAAAAGCTGTCAACCATACTTCAGTCAAAGAAAAATACTGCAAAGTCCCCACTTCACGGGAAGAAGCATTGGTATTAAGCACTTTACCACAACTCCTCATCGAAAGCAGAATGAACACCAACTGGTTCCAAGGAAAAGGCGGTCTCTAGCAACTGGCCAACATGTGTCTGTGTATATATTGAGGGCCCAGAGCTTGCGAGAGGTAAAATTGGTTAATACAAGGCTTATTTCAGCCAAGAATCGCTTCACAAAGACAAAAATGGCCTCCCCAGCTTGGTATTCACAGCCCCCAGGAGAGGCTGCACCCCTCAGGGAGCAGTGGCCACGTGGGCAGCACTCAAATGCAATGTTAATCCTGTCAGACGCATGGCCTCTGACAAGTCCATGATTGCTTCCAGTGGCCAGGGCTCCCTGTCCATCTACAGAGCAACTGGGCAGGATGACAGGGTGGGCCCCAGAACTCTCCTGGCTCCTCCCTCCCTTCCGCAAAAGGGCATGCGGTCAGGGTTGAGAGAATACTTTCAGAAATGTTTAACCACTAATGATAGCAGCTTACCCTGAATGACAGGCTGGAGCAGGGCCGGGCTGAGCCCATGAAGCAGGGGCAGCTGGGACCACTTTGCATGAATTGCTGCCTCCCTGCCTTCGGCCAGCCACCACAGCCGCCCCCACAGCCACACAGGCCACACACACACACACACACACACACACACACACACACACACCCTTTCTCTATTCTCCCCCTGCCCTAAATCTGAAGTTTCCAGTTTCTTGCTGTTTTATCGCCTTTCAAATAGAACACTGGGAAAGTGTAGGGGAGCCTCGACTGTGGAGGCCAGTCTCTTAGGCAGTTTCCGCTCTTGGGACTCACTCAACCCTTAAAAGACACGATTGCGTAGTGATTAAACGCTGGCCCACATGCTGAAACCACACACCATAGGCCAAAATAGCACTAGGACAAACTTGGGGTGATGGGGTGGAGATGAGCTAGCCTCCACCACAGACAGTCTGGCTTCAGCTCTGCCAATGACTTCAACCTTGGCCTGATCCCCCTCGACATTTTGGGGGCAGGGAGGAGTTCCGCAGCCCCTGGCAGTCAGCAGAGGGCCAACCGGCTGTGCCAGCCAGGCCAAACTCCACAAATGGTTTCAAGTCACCTAGTTACAGAAATTCAGCTCTCTCTACAGCATGTCCTTCCCAGAATGCTGCTGTGTCCTTACCTAAGTTCCTCCCTCAGGAACTGAAGCCACCAAGGAGCACCCATGGAGGCCAGGGCTCTGGGATTCTTTCTCCACACTCCTCAAAGCTGTTGTGATAAGATGAGGTCTCAGGAGCAGGCTCTTGGTTGTCCCTCCTGGTACTTAAGCTTTGACATCACAGCACCAGCCTCAGTCCTCACCTGCACCCTGACAACGAGTCTCAGATGCCCTGCGACATCTTGTCTTGCCCTGCGACATCTTGTCTTGCCCTGCATGAAGGCCAGTTCTAGAGCTAGCAACAAAGCAGAAAATGTCCCTGACCCCAAGGAGCTGAAATGCCTTAGTGGAAATGCAGTAATTTGTGATTTTGCTCACGATTTCCATCATACCATAAAATGTGGTGTGTGGGAGCCGATTGGCTAGTGAGTGAGCCCAGCTGACTACTTGGCATGGTCGCCTTAAAGCAGCATGGTCAACATGGTCACATACGCAGTAATTTATGTAGAATAATTAAATAAAGAAAAATCTTGTGTCTTTGGTCTAAAAAAGGAAGACTTATTTCACAACAATAAGAGACAATACTACTAAACTGCACACTTAAAAATGGTTAAGATGGTAAACTTCATTATGTGCTTTTTACCACAATTTGAGAAAAAAGGAAGCCAAACTTAACTTTAGTAAACTAAGGGAAAACAAAGTAAAAAGTCTAAATAAATAATGACTCCCAAGCCAGAAAACATTTTTTTTTCATTATTAAAAAGTAGAACCCAAACCTTGGGGGTGACTCAGAATTTGAGATCAATAAATCTATCTTGCACCTTAAATAAAACTGATTTTAAAAGGCAGTTTATATTCCTATATCTCAAAACAACAATAAATCTGATTTAAAAATGGATAAAGGACTTAAACAGACATTTATCCAAAGATGGTATACAAATGACCAACAAGCATGTGAAGATGCTAAACTCTGATCATCATTAGGGAAATGTAAACCAAAGGTCTCAGTATCACCTCAGATACTAGGATAGCTACTATCAAAGGAACCAGTGTTGGTGAGGACATCAATTAATTGGAACCCCTATGCACTGCTGGGAGGAATGTAAAATGGTGGGACCACTATGGCAAACTATGTATTGTTGTTCCTCAGAAAATTAAAAATAAAGCCAGGCACGGTGGTGTACACCTGTAACCCCAGCTACTCAGGAGGCAGGGGCAGGTGGATTGTAAATCTGAAGCCACCCTGGGCAACTTAGTGAGACCCTATCTCAAAATTTCTTGAATGTTAAAAAGGGTTGGRGACTGGAGCTGGGAATGTGGTTCAAGCGGTAGCGCGCTCGCCTGGCATTCATGCGGCCCGGGTTCGATCCTCAGCACCACATACCAACAAAGATGTTGTGCCTGCTGAAAACTAAAAAATAAATATTAAAATTCTCTCTCTTTAAAAAAATTTTTTTTAAAAAAAGGGTTGGGGATATAGCTCAAGAGGAGCACTTGCCTAGCATGCACAAGGATCTGGGTTCAATCCTTAGAACTCAAAAAATAAAATAAAAATAGAATTACCACATGATCTAGTAATTCATTTCTGGATATATACCCCAAATAACTGAAAGCAAGGTCTCTGAGATGTCTGTACACCCATGTGCATAGCCAGCCTGTTCACAGTAGCCTAGAGGTGTAAATAGCCCATTCTCAACGAAGAAGGAAATTCTGACACGTGCTATCACACGAACGAATCTTGAGGACAGCATGCTACTGAAATAAGCCGGTCACAGAAGGACAAATCTTCTGGTTTGTCCAGAAGAGTAACCAAACTCATAGGGTCTAAAATAGAATGGTGGGGGCAAGAAGCTGAAGAAAGAAGGCAATGTGGAAGAAAGGTGAAAAAACATCTAATTAAATGTAACCCAAAACAAGCATTTTGGGTTATGGCTTCATAAAAATTTAAAACTCTCGATTTCCCAAAGATACTGTCAAGAAAAGGAAAGGACATTCCTTAGGCTGCAAATACACATCTGATAAAAAAACTTGTATCTTGACTACATAAATAGAACACTCAAAATTCAATAAGAAAACAACCCAAAATTTTTAAAATAATTGAAAGCTTTGGACACTTCATACCAAAGATCTGCAGATGGAAAACAAGCACAGGAAAGATATCATCA